GGAAGGGTCAATCAACCTATCATTGGTCCGCGAGTTCTATGCCAACAACCATATCCACCTCACAGAGGAGCGGAGCGTGAGCACGGTTCGAGGCAAGAGGATCGAGTGGAATGCCTTCAAAATTAATTCTTTCTATCACCTCCGACACATGACACCATTCAATTGGGGGCAAATGCAACTTGCGGTCACACGAGATCAAATCGCCGAGGTGTTGTGCGATGGACCCCCCATTTGGTCCGAACTATCAACCGAAGAAAAATACGAGTTAGAGTGGAAATGCATCAACCAAGTAGGCAAGGCGTGCCTTACGTTCATTTGTGCCAACCTCATTCCCACCCGCTCGTGGACTCGCGTGGACCCCGAACGGTGCGCTTTGGCATACTACATCCTTAAGGGCACACCGATCAACATTGGCGTGATCATATCCGACCGGTTTTGGACCTCCATGGTCAACAACTCCAAGGGATTTTATTTCCCTTGCCTCATTACCGGCTTGTGCAAGAAGGCGAAGGTCCCAACCAAACCGACGGACATTTTCACATCAATTCGGAACCCGATGAATGACCTTGCGGCGCGGCAATACAAGGCACCCATCCAAGATGGCGAGCAACCCGTCGAAAACCAACCAATCGCTCCACCCGAGGGTCCAAGCACAAGTTCGGACCGACGATTTCAACGAAGAATGGAGCGAGAGTTGGTGATCACGAGAAATCGGCTTGCAACGGTGGAGCACAAGGTGGGCACGATCGAATCCCTCCAACGGTGGTCGGGAAAAATGCTTCAAGCCATTGTACGCCATTTGGCATGTGGCAATCCCGAGTGTGAAGAACCGGCTCCGTTGCCCGCACCGATTCTTGAGCCGGTACCCGAGCTTTCGGATGATGAAGGAGATGGTGATGCTCATGCGCAAGGAGGAGGTGGTGAGCAACCCGGCGATGGTCCCGACGCTTAAAAACAGGTGTTTTCTATCCTTAAACTTCGGGCGAATCACATTGAGGGCAATGTGAATTTTAGGTTTGGGGGTGGTTAACTACTTGTTTTCGTTTATGTGCACTTTATGTGTGTTTTATTTCTTTATTTATTTTGCATGCTTTAGTTTTTGTTTGTTTTAATTACCGTTTTATTATTTTCGTTTTTTATAAAAAAAAAAAAAAAAAAAAAAAAAAAAAAATTGTTCGATGCATCAATGAATTACGATGATGGTAGATGGTCAATGTTTGATGATGAAACTACTTGTTTTATGTTGATAAGGAGTATGTATTTGTTTAGCTTTCGATTCAACGGAACGTAGAAGTGAATTATTGCTAGGAATCACACCTTGTGCATTGCTTTGGTTGAATGTTTTGCATTTTAAATTTGGAATTTATTTGTGCTCAATCATGCTTTGTTAGGTTTTAAATCTCACCTTAGGACATTTATGATACGAAGTGTTGATAATAAGTGATTTGGGATATGATTTGGGCCTTCTTTGAACCGTTTGAGCCTTTCAAGCCTACCATTTTTGTCAAATTATCCTTAGAACCTTGATTTGAGCCTCGGAGAAAAGGTGTTCTTTCTTTTAGCCAATATGTAGAAGGTAGAAAAGTGGTGATTTTTGAATAATTATCCCTTGGTGGTCGGTTGAAAAATTCTTATAAGATCTTTCGTCATCTTCGAAAAAAAAAAAAAAAAAAAAAAAAAAAAAAAGAAGAAGAATAATAGATTATAAGGGAGAAATAAGGACTAGTTGTTGAATTATGTTGAAAATTCGATCCATTGCCTAAAAGGCAAAAGTGTTGACGTGTGAATATTGGAGAATCGAGTTTATTTAAGTCCCTAGAGGTGAATTCATTGTTTCAAACGCCTATCTTTCAAATTTTGGCGTAATCACCTCAATTCAAGAAAATTAGCCACATATACCCATATTACCTACCTCGGACCAAAGAGCCTAACAATTGAAAGCCACAAAGTCCCAATGATCCCAATAGCTTATTGTTCAATATTAGTTGAGTAAAATAATTTGGTGAGTATTTGGAGTCAAATATATGCATGTAAGTATAAATTCTTTCTATCTTTAACTTGCAAATATTGGATACTTGAAGCAATTGTATGATTTGTGGTTTTTGGTAATAGTGAGTGACTAAGTGCCGTTGAATGTTAAGCTTGCGAATACCTATGAATTGTCATCATAATTGCAAATTCTGAAAACGCTAAGTTGACCCATCGATCTATGTAATGAGATGCATGGTTTTGGTTTGTGTTCTTGATTTGATTTTACTTGAGGACAAGCAAAAGTTCAAGTTTGGGGGTGTGTTAAGTGTATATTTATACACTTGATTATACCTTTTAATTGGAGCTTTTGGTGTGTTTTTACGATAATTGGTGCTTAATTTGGTTATTATTTGTATTTTAGGTGCAAATTGAAGAATTGACAACTTTTGGGGTGAAAACTGCAAATTCAGAGAAAAAGTGGGCCAAAAGTGAAAAAAGCAGATTTCTGAAGAATTAAAAGACCGCACGGCCGTGCGGATTTTAGTTCAAAATCTCACACGGCCGTGTGAGTGGACGTGATGGCGCAGTGAAGGGAACTCAATTACACAAGGAAACCCGCCCTATTATAGTTTTGCACCCTATTTAAAGGCCACAAGCACACAATTAGACCTATCTTTTGAATCTTTTACCTTTTATTTTTATTTGGAGTTTTTATCGTTTCTACACGCAATCGAGGAGCAAGAGAACGAAGACGAGACTTGACGAATCTTCATCCTAGTTTCTTTTTTCCTTTTCTTTTCTGATTTTTATGAATTTCCGTATTTTTATTATGCTTTTCGTAACGAACATGAGTAGCTAAGTTTTTATTCTAGGATTTTATTGGAACCCTATGTGGTGATTCGAACCTCTTATTCGACTTTTATGCAAGTTTAATTTTTCGATTATTTCTTCTATCTTGATCTTATTTAGTGCATGAGCGTAGCTAACTTATGTTGCTATTTGTTATTGTTAGAATTGATTGACAGATCGTTTTAATAATTAGAACAGGGATAGAAGAGCCTTCGAGTAGTTTTTCACCGAATGCGTGTGTTAATTGCATGTATTATCGTAGACATACAGATAATACCTTAGGTAGCCGTTTGCGAGACTTGTCATTTAATGCTTTATTTATATTAGGTTTGCATAGACATATAGTGAATCTTTTATGAATAATAGGTTTATAGCGCAGCGACAGCTGGTTATGAATAATTTCGTGTCTTGGGTTAATAATCGGGAATCGTAACTTGCATAATAGGAGATTAGTTGGGTGAAGAATTATCGCATAGGGGGAAGATAAAATCCTAGATCCGTTTATTATTGACTTTTTCTCGTGATTACTTGTTTTCTTAATTATTTTAATTTTATTAGTTAATTAATTTGACAACCTTGCGTAGGCTGGATAAAAATCACAATTGTTAGGATTTGGTACTTAGGATTAAATAATTTGCGTATTCCCTGTGGGATCGACATCCGACTCTCACGAGTCTACTTTACTACTTGTTTGCGATACGTACACTTGCGTGTTGGTATTTAGCACCCAACAGGTGCATACAACCGTTCGCCTTTTTTAGGCAAGAGCATCTCAATATTTCTCGGAGCCCCAACTAGCTGACGAAGAACCCGAAATTGTGATTCGGTCAACGAATATCAAAATCCACCAAGTCAAGATTTATTGGTTTTATTTTCTTCCCTCTATTTTTATCTACAATGACATCTTCGCGTGGAATGACATCCTCACCTCCCACATTTCCATTTGGATTTAAATCACTTTCCGATTCCTCGGACTCATTAGACGAACTCGACTTAAGTGATTCTTCACTATCACTCCCAAAATCCATTAATTGAGACCTAAGACGTCTCCTACTAGTACCAAAGTCATCACTAATATTAGTAATACCAACATTTGATACCAATATAATCACCCGGAGAAGAAACACGTTGACGCTCCTCGAAAATGGCCGAAACATGGCCCTCCACGCGCCCAACGCGCTGGGTAGGTCCCCAAACGCGCGGGCAGACGCACCCCCACGCGCGGCAGACGCGCGTGTCTGCTCCGGCCCAATCGCGCGGCGCACGTCTGGCCCACCCCCCACTGCGCGTCGCGCGGAACCTAAACCCCCCCCCCCCCCCCACCCCCCACACGTGACAAGCCTCCACCCCACCCTACCCCTCTCTCTCTTTTCCCACTCCTGGCCCACCCCCCACTACGGGCTCCGTGCACGGCTTCCCCCTCACACACAAAACACGCGGCTCCAAGTCGCGCGGCTCCTCTCTCATCCTCGAGTCGCACGGCTTGGTCAACTGGCTCCGCAACCAAATCTCCGGATAACCATAATCGCGTGCTTTCAGAACGCGCGATTTCTCTCTCCGGTGCAATTTGTTTACCGTAACTCGACCCAATCACCTTCCCTACGGTTCCAAAGGTCATCTCGCTCTCTACAATCGACTTTAGCAGCATAATTTTCAACTGTTTCGGCTTCCCCTCGTCGATCATATAAATTATTTTAATTGGTGATCTACTAATTATTTTAAGTGTTTCAGGATCATCTAGCTCGTGAGCACGTGACCTACTTTGCTCTCCCAGATTTTTCTAATCTAATACCCCTGGTGATTTATTATTAGTATCATCAATATATATATATATATATATATATATATATATATATATATATATATATATATATATATATATATATTTCTATTCCCGTAAAGGATATAGTGTGGCGGTTGAAGTAAGTGAGTCTGTGTCCGTTGATTCAGATTTGAATCCCCTTGTCAACGGTCGTTAAATGGAGCTTGTCACATATGATTAGCCTAGTGTGATTTACATCTTTAATATTGTTTGCAAGCTATTATACGAAAGTATCATCACACCTATATAATTAGTTGCGGGTTCCTTCAGTACGAGGAAAAAAAAAACCATAGGCCCGGAGGAAAATCTAAAATTTGCTGTTGGTATAAAAGAGAGCAAACAATTTAAATATTTTGTTGTCACAACTCACACGTATATGATCATATAGAAAACAAAGAAATGATAATAAAAACTCAAATGCATTTCCTAGCAACTAAAAGGCTCAGAAACAATACATAAATCCCAACCCTACGCTGAGAAGCAGCCGAGTTGAGCCTAATATCCTTTTTCTTCACCTTGAGATAGACCCGTTCAATCAACCTCCACATCAGCACTGTTGGAAATGAATAAGCTAGATTCATTAATCAAGTTCAAAGAATTGAAGGTTCTAGAATTCATGAATGTGGAAGAATACATGAATGCGTCTTTTGGTGAGATTCATGTGTAATGCTATGGATGAAGAATATTATTAATTATGTGTTCATGTAGTTGTTTAGATACATGCTAGGAAAATCCTATAAATAGTTTATGTAGTTTTTCATTTGGAGCTTGTCAAAAACAAGAAGTATTCTAGAGAGAATCAAAAGAGAGTTCTTGAGTGAGTTTTTATATTTGTGTTGATTGAGTGAGTCATATAATTTTATCTCCTCTCCACTATCCTCCTCTCTATTTTAAGTTATTCCGCTGCGTGTTTTCGATCTATATTATTAAATCGATCCAACAAAGTGGCATCAGAGCCACGTCTTAATAGAAAAGATCGATGGCAACCACGAATGGAGCTTTCCCATTTCAAAAGCTTGCAAAAGAGAACTATGATTGATGGAGCATGCAAATAAAAACTTTCCTTGGAGGACAAGACGTTTGGGAAGCCGTGAAGAAGAATATGTTGAACCGGAGAATTTGGCTTCGTTAAGCCAAGCCCAAAGGAAAACATCCAAAGAAGCCAAGGTTTATCCATCATCCAACTCGGTGTAGACGATAGTAACTTTGAGCAGATTTCTCAAGCTACAACGACGAATCAAGCGTGGGATATTCTTAGCGATGCTTTCAAAGGCATTGATAAGGTGAAGAAGGTACGACTCCAATCACTTCGTGGAGAGTTCGAGTCTTTGAAGATGAAACACTCCGAAGATGTTTCCGACTACAGCTCAAGGGTGGTTTCGATCGTTAACCAACTTGAAAGAAATTGTGAAACAATGGAAGAGAGAAGAGTGGTCGAAAAAATATCTATTGATCCTTAGTTCGACTACATTGTCGTGGCAATTGAAGAGTCAAACGACGTTGAGAGTCTTAAAGTGAACAAGGTATTGGGAAAGTTAAAAGTCCATGAGGAAAAGATCAAGAGGCGAAACAAAGGGCCCGAAGTTGAGCAAGCCCTCCTTCAAGTAAAGACGAACCTTGCCGACCAACCAAAATATAATGGTGCTCGATTTCGAGGCAGAGGTAGAGGTCGTGGTCGTGGACGCGGTCGTGGTCATGGCAGAGGTCGTGAAGGACAATCCTCGTACGACAATGATGATACGAATCAAGAGAGTCGACCAACAAGAGGTCGTGGACGAGGAGGATTCAATCGGCGTCAAGACAAGAAAGATGTCGAATGTTACAATTGTCACAAATACGGACACTATGCTTGGGAGTGTCGAAATGAGTCAAATGATGAAAAGACTCATTATGTTGAAACAACGGAAAAACAAGTTGCCGAGCTATCCCTAATGGCGTGCAAAGAATCGACGGGGGAGAAAGATTGCTCGTGGTACCTTGATTCGGGTGCGAGCAACCACATGTGCGGGAACAAACACATGTTCGTAGAGATCAATGAGTCCGTGACGGGAAATATCTCATTTGAAGATATGTCGAATATTACCATCAAAGGTAAAGGGAGAATACTCTTCAAATTGAAAAGTGGAGCACACCAATTCATCGAGAATGTATACTATGTGCCTGTAATGAAGACAAACATTCTAAGTATTGGCCAACTGCTAGGAAAGGATACGACGTCCATATGAAGGGTCGTAACCTATACTTAAAGAATAGTCAATGTGCGTTGATAGCTACTATTCCAATGACAAGCAATCAGATGTTCTTATTGAATATCTATCACGATATGGCGAAGTGCTTAAAGGCGTGTTACGAGGATCCATATTGGCTATGGCATTTGAGGCTAGGCCATATCAACTTTGGTGGACTAAAGATGATGTCCAAGAAGAAGGTGGTGAAGGGACTACCATCAATTGATCATCCCGATCAAGTATGTCAAGGATGTATTGTCGGAAAACAATATCGACTAAGTTTTCCAAAGGAGTCTTTGTCAAGAGCAACGCAATCGTTGGAGTTGATCCATATGGATATATGCGGTCCGATTGAACCTACATCACTAGGGGAGAATCGTTATTTTCTGACTTTCATTGATGATTACAGTCGGAAAACATGGGTTTATTTTTTGAAGCAAAAATCGGAGGCATTCTCAACCTTTAAAAGGTTCAAAGCTCTTGTCGAAAAGCAAAGTGGCTATCACATTAAGGCAATGAGATCTGACCGTGGAGGCGAATTCACTTCAAGTGAGTTCAAGAAGTTTTGTGATGAGCACGGTATTTGTAGACCTCTCATCGTTGCATACTCACCCAAGCAAAACGGTGTTGCCGAGACGAATAATCGATCCATTATGAACATGGTTCGATGCATGTTGAAGTCCAAACAATTGCCGAAGGAGTTTTGGGCAGAAGCCGTTGATTGTGTTGTTTATCTATCAAACGGAGTTCGACGAGGAGTGTTTTTGAGAATACACCACAAGTGTCTTGGAGTGGATTCAAGCCTAGCATAGCACATTTGAGAGTGTTTGGGAGTATTGCCCATATGCATGTTCCGGACCAACAACGAAAGAAACTTGATGACAAAAGACAAAAGTATATTTTTGTAGGCTATGATCAAGCTGCAAAAGGATACAAGTTGTATGATCCTGTTGAGAAGAAGAGTAAAATCAGTCGAGACGTTGTGTTCGATGAGAAAAGTTCGTGGGATTGGAATGCTCAAGAAAAGGAGCATTACACATTCTACCCATTTGAGGCAACAACTAAGGAAGTTGAAGAGGAGCCCGTAGATGAAGTAACTCCACCATCATCACCTGCATCTTCTTCCGAGGGTGAAAGTTCGAGTAGTGAAGGACCTCGAAAGACAAGGTCTCTACATGAGATTTATGATCAACTCAATCAGAATCCAAACTTCTGTTTGTTTGTTGATACAAAGCCTGTCAACTTTGAGGAGGCATCGAAAAGCAAGAAGTGGAGAAAGGCCATGAATGAAGAGATTGAATCTATCAAGAAGAATGATACTTGGGAGCTCACTTCCTTACCGTCAGGGCATAAACCTATCGGAGTCAAATGGGTTTACAAGGTGAAAAATAATTCCAAAGGCGAGGTGGAAAGATACAAGGCGAGGCTTGTTGTCAAAGGGTACAAGCAAAAGGCGGGAATTGACTATGACGAAGTCTTTGCTCCCGTTGCCCGATTGGAGACCATTAGGTTGCTAATCTCATTAGCAGCTCAAAAGAAGTGGAACATCTATCAAATGGATGTGAAATCGGCATTTCTAAATGGAGTGCTTGAAGAAGAGGTGTACGTTGACCAACCAGAAGGTTACTTAGTTCGTGGTCAAGAGAATAAAGTGCTAAAATAGAAAAAATGCACTTTATGGGTTAAAACAAGCACCAAGGGCGTGGAACAGCCACATTGATCAATATTTTTTGTAAAATAGATTCAAAAAATGTCCACATGAGCATGCGCTATATATGAAGGTCGATAAAGGTGATATGCTAATTGTATGCTTGTATGTTGATGATTTAATATTTACAGGGAACAATGTGAAATTGTTTGATGAGTTCAAAAAGGAGATGGCCAAGGAGTTCGAGATGACAGACATTGGGTTGATGTCTTATTATCTTGGCATTGAAGTGAAGCAACAAGATGATGGCATTTTCATCTCACAAGAAGGCTATGCAAAACATGTGCTAAAGAAATTCAAAATGGAGAAATGCAAGGAAATCAACACTCCAATTGACATTGGAGACAAATTGTCGAAGCATGTTGGAGGAGAGCCCGTTGATGCGACCTTATTCAAAAGCTTAGTTGGAAGTTTGAGGTATCTTACATGCACAAGACCCGATATTCTATTTGCAGTTGGTCTTGTTAGTCGATACGTGGAGGATCCAAAGGAGTACCATTTCAAAGTAGCAGAGAGGATACTTCGATACATCTAAGGAACTACTAATTTTGGTATGTTCTACCCAACAAATGGATACTTGAAGCTAGCCGAATATAGTGACAGCGATTGGGCCGGAGATCCCGATAATCAAAAGAGTACAAGTGGTTTTGTATTCTACTTTGGAGATTCAGCATTCACTTGGGTATCAAAGAAGCAACCGATAGTTACTCTATCAACTTGTGAAACTGAATATGTGGCAGCGACATCGAGTGTATGTCATGCAATATGGCTAAGGAACTTACTAAAGGAGCTCAATTTCGTTCAAGAAGATTCGACACAAGTTTTTGTCGATAACAAATCAGCGATTGCACTAGCGAAAAATCTAGTGTTTCATGATCGAAGCAAACACATTGATAATCGAAAGAGTACAAGTGGTTTTGTATTCTACTTTGGAGATTTAGCATTCACTTGGGTATCAAAGAAGCAACCGATAGTTACTCTATCAACTTGTGAAACTGAATATGTGGCAGCGACATCGAGTGTATGTCATGCAATATGGCTAAGGAACTTACTAAAGGAGCTCAATTTTGTTCAAGAAGATTCAACACAAGTTTTTGTCGATAACAAATCAGCGATTGCACTAGCGAAAAATCTAGTGTTTCATGATCGAAGCAAACACATTGATACTCGATATCATTTCATCCGAGAGTGCATTGCAAAGAAGGAAGTTCAAGTGAAGTTCGTGAAGTCCGAAGACCAGATTGTCGATATCTTCACGAAACCCCTCAGGAGAGAATCGTTCGAGAAGTTGAGCAGTCAACTTGGAATGTGTGAATCAAGCTTAAGGGGGTGTGTTGGAAATGAATAAGCTAGATTCATTAATCAAGTTCAATGTATAAAGGTTCTAGAATTCATGAATGTGGAAGAATACATGAATGTGTCTTTTGGTGAGATTCATGTATAATGCTATGGAGGAAGAATATTATTAATTATCTGTTCATGTATTTGTTTAGATACATGCTAGGAAAATCCTATAAATAGTTTATGTAGTTTTTCATTTTGAGCATGTCAAAAACATGAAGTATTCAAGAGAGAATCA